CACATGCTTTCACTTTTTCATATTTTTGTTAGCTTATGTTTTCTTTTCGTTCTCTCTAGATAGACAGCCACACAGGCTGTGGGTCCTTATAATTCGGCCAGGTATAACCTAGCTCGAGTTTCGGTTTGGGCCAGGCAGCACTTTTACCATGCCAGGCAGGAGGGATGGCATTGATCTACACCCCTAAGTCAAGGACCATACTAGTCTTGACGTGGAATTATTCTGCTGCTCTTCTAACAGCAGCAAGTTCTACCAACGACCTAGTCATTCATAGCATTGAAAGCATAATAAAAGCAAATATGGTACAAAAGCTAGATAGAGATAAAGTTTAGATAGGATTTTAAAATAGAGTTTAATTCAAATTATTTTTTGTTTAAATTAGATTAAGTTAGTTTTAATATTGTGATAAAGTTCTAGTTTAGTAGTTCATTTAATCATTTAATTTTAGCTTAGTTGCTTTATATAAAGAGGCTTATCCATTGTAACATATACTCTTGAATATATGACTAAATTAACTCTCTTGCCCTAAATTATTATTCTTCTTGGAACCCCTTTCTCTTCTCGTTTTTCAATTGTTCGTTGTCAAATTGTTAAATTCCTGCATCAGCTACACCACTTAGTGAAGCTAAAAAAAATATTTGTATGGGTTGATGCAGATAAAATAAACTACACATGTACCAATAGCTTGTTTGGTAGCGTATACCATTCAATAGTAGGCAGTACAAACAAGAAAAATAAGTTAAAATTTCATGCATTGTATTGTCCTGAGAACCGCACATGCCCGAATGTTAAAGAAACATTCGGATGACATTGGGAGTGGATGTAGCAGTCATTGACATTTATTATTCCATGGCCTATTCAATTGATCATTTCATCCAAAGGTGAACAATGATTCCATGTTGATATATGCTTATATATAGGGAGAGAGAAAAAATGATCTACTAGGCAACTGTGACTCATGTCAATTAATTAGTGGTTAAGTTTATGATCGATTCCAAAAATGAAATTAGATTGTTAAATCGAAGTGTCATGCGACTATTGCTAAGCACATGACATGACACATTGATCCATTGGTGGATAAGTAATTTAATTCAAACATTGAGACCCACCGTAAACTTATTTACCAATGGATTGATGTGATATATGATTGATGCTTAAGTTAAGCACCGGTATTTAGGAGCTTCTCTCTCTCTCTCTCTCAATCTATATATATATATATATATATATAGGGCGTCAAGGTTTGATAGTGTTTATGTCCATAAAGAGGACCTTGACAGTTACAGTCATAATACTTAGCAGATCATACAAAATTAATATTTCATCTCATGCCAACAGGTATTGTTAGTTTCAATATAAGAGTTTATAATGCATTAATGCTATATTTAAGCCAGTATATTAAACCATATAAAAGAGATTTTCTTCTCTAAGCTCAGTAAGTTATGGAGCTTATTTTATGGTACTTTTTTGGTGCTTACGACCAATCATATTTAGTAAATATTTACCTGAGAAAATGAAAAAGGACTGGAAAATTTGGTAACTTGGGAAGTCGGGATCTTTAGAAAATGCTTTCTAAAACTTTCAAATTAAACGCAAGCAGTCTACTTGTGTGACCAGGTAGCTTTTGCCTCTTTTGTCCAAAGTGAATGTCTTCATTCCCTTTTTTCGTAGATCAACTAAAGTAATGTACATTTTCTCAAAATAAAATGAAAGGCAAAATAGGGGATATGGGTTGAATCCGCACCTAAGTATATGTTTTAACCGCCTATATCTTTCCCAATTTTTCCCAGGCTTCACTTTCTGCCTAGTTATCTTCTTTGGGCTAAAACACCATTCACATGTAGGCCATTAGTAATTTCAATAACTTCTTAAAACATTTTTCCTATTGCTAATTTTCACTAATCATACTAAGAGCATCAGCACATTTACATTTGAAATAATGACCTCAGGAAGTGGAAATTTCAGTTAGAAGTTATATTGGCAACATTTGAAGTAGATGCGTCATTTGATAGTTATAATGTAAGAATGCATATAGCGGAAACAAAATCAATGACGATTGACTACGAAATCCATATCTCAATTATATATCAAATTTCTAAAACATCAAAAGATTCAAAGAACACTGGACAACAAAAACTTCGAGTAACAGCCGTGTCAACAAGTAAAATAACACACCTAGCATAATGAAAGAACATTGGACAACAAAAACTTCGAGTAACAGCCGTGTCAACAAGTAAAATAACACACCTAGCATAATGGACACTGGAAGAGCAGGCAAAGCTTTCCGATACACAGCTAGGAGTATCAGTGTTACACCAAGACCAGCTATAATCGCAAGGTAGCATGCATAAACTGTCATGAAATCGTACATTGCAGCCCGACCAACTAAAACACTGTAAAAGATGAAGTCTCCCAACCCAAGCTTAATTGCACCTGAGGATCCCAAGCCAATTCCTTACAGAGCAAAACTTTCACTTGGACTTGCATCTTCCTCTGAATTCATATGGACATTTATTTTATGCTGAATAAGAGGTGCATCGAGTTCGGAGTCCCCTCTAAAAGTCTGACCCTCTTCGGCATTAACCAAATTAACCTCGTTCTCACTACTTCCAACTGATAAATATGTCCCCAGAGTAGTATTTGAATGCGTATCATGACTAGTATTTGTGTTAGGCCTCGCATCTGAATTTTCATCCAAAGTAGAACCTGCATTCCTTCTCTCTCTCCATACTCTTCTTTGCACAACATCACCAATTGAAGATAAATCATTATTAATAACTGGACGAGCCTCGTAAACTAAAGCTGGGATATCTTCATCCCGAGATATCGCAAGCTCTACCAAGAGCCTCAAAGGCCCACCGGGCAAACAAACAGCCGCAAGATCATACAATGCCACGGCAATCAAAAGCACCCAAGTGGTCCATTCCGGTAAAAGAGTAAACAAATAAGCCACCAGCATCCCAATAACAACCAAGTAAGCTTGTAAACCAATAAGCCACCAGCATCCCAATAACAACCAAGTAAGCTTGCGTAACAAAAATTGCCATTTTCGACATGAACACAGCCAAAACTCCAACAACAGTGAAATTTAACAACACAATCACAAATGTAACACAATCCACAGGAAAGCTGAAATCTTGGAGCAAGAAAAGGGCAATTTCACAACCCATAAGCCCCAAAACAATAAAAGATGAGAAACCCATGTAGTATTTCAAGAACTTAGTGCATCTGAAATAGAACAAAAGCACCAGCAGGAAAGTAACTATTGCAATAACAGAAACAAATACAAGTGAATTCAAGAGAGCACCTTTAAGCTTATCCCATATAGAATCTGAACTGCTCTCACTGTAAGCCACACTGGCTATAGTAGTAAATGATAGGCCTATTGAAGACCCTTCTGAATCCGTATTCAGTACTTTAACAAGAATTACAACCGATAGCATACATATCGAGACTGGTGTAATAATTCTGATGAGTTCTTCAACTAGAGTTTCAAGAATAGTTCTGGGTTTTTTATTTTGGTCCATTGGGGATCTGTATAATGGATATGCGTTTGAGATTTGAGGGTTGCGAGAATTCACAGGGTTAATTAACTGCGAAAAGTAGGAGCGTCGGCGAAAAGGGTGCGAACAGGAGAAAATTTACTTATACTGCACTTTGGGGTCGAATAGGAACTTAGGAAGGTTTCATTCTAATTTTGTGACGGGAATTTTCAGGCTTCAAATGTCACTCTTTAATTTTGGGTAAAACAAACAAGATTGATACATCGTAATCTCAACTTATGCCCCCGTTTGATGGTGCTTCTTTGTGAATTTTTTAGCATTTCTCTTACCGTTATACTGTGTAAAAAGGAAGCAACCGCAATTGTTGGATAAAGGACGCAGTCGTAATTGTTGAACAAAATGAAACTTTCATATTTTTTTATATTTGAATTACCGAAAATGCTCTCTTTAGCATTTCTTCAATTTTTTCTTGAGGAGGGCATTTTTGGTAATTCATTATGTAAAAATTTATGACAACTTCATTTTTTCAACAATTGTGACTGCTTCCTCAATTCAACAATGGCAAGTGCTTCCTTATTACAATGTACAACGATCGGAAAAATGCAAAAAATTTAGAAAGAAGCGAACCAAACAAGGGCTATATTTTCCTTTTTTTCTTCCATTAGTAGTGTTTCAAAATGCAAACAAATATAATAAAATTTAACCCTTGTCAATCATTCTCCTTTTCAATCACCGTGTAGCACGATTGACAAGTCTCAAGCTAGTATCAATGTAAAAAATGATAGACGTATATGAATGACTGCTTGAGCATCATTTCACAATATTTTGAATGTGCTCATTATTTCTTGTTGTAGAGCGGATTGAATCCCGTTGCATAACACACCCCATCTTGATAATACCCTCAATTTTAGTAGCTTTTCATTCGTAATAACTGGAAAAAAAAAAAAAAAAAGCCTCTGCAATTTCCTCAATAAATTATGTAATGGAAATAACCAAATAAAATACTAAAGACGAAAATTTCTACACTGAATAAAATAATAATTTAAGTTATGTTGAAAACCTTAAGAAAAATAAAGGAATGTACCTGCATAATATTTTGTCAATATTTATCTAAAGAAAAAAAAATATAAAGAAGGAATAAACTTTCGTTGATAATAAGGTCAAAGGCTTTTTTGTCGGCTTTCGACAACTGAAGCACTGTTCGGTGATTACCGACGACATCATAAATGAAATGACAATGTTATAGATGATCAAATATGTTGTCGTGGTTTGAAATTTGATCTTTTTATTCTTAGTTCACGTCATTATTTTTATTTCCTATTTTTGTCAAGTCAATTTTTATTTTTGAATGTTATTTTTGTAGCAGGAAAAGTTGGTGAATCTGAACTTTAGAATATGTATTACTTGATAATTTATTATCATAAAATTGTTTAATTTTACTAAATAATCAAATTCAATCAATAAAAAGTAATATAAAAATTTTAAAAATTTTCAATCCAAATGTATTTTTCAGTTTCCTTTTGAGATACAATTTTTAAAAATGACAAACTAAACAAGTTTCTATAATTTTAAAATAAACCCTCAGAACAGAAAATCAAACATGAACTAAAAAGTTAAATACAAATCAAATAGAACCTTAATTTTTGTTCGTAATATGACGTAACTAATATTTTCTTAGTCTCTTGATTCTGTAAGAATCTAGTGGTGATGGATTTGTTGCTGACGCTTTAATTTTGTTTGTGGACTATGGTATCAAGAGTGAAAGAATATGGATTATTTATATTTTCATTCATTTTTTTTTTTTTTGGAAAAATTAAAATGGAATAGTCTTT